TGGGCCCGGGGAGGCAGCGGGAGCGACAGCCACCACGGGGGAGCCAGCTACGTCCCCGAGAGGACCTCGTCCCTGCAGCGGCAGAGGTGAGCAGGGGCTGGTGGTGGGCGAGGAAGCCAGAGGGGGCCCACGCTGTGGGTACCCGAGTCCACCTTCCCCGCAGCTGTGTTCCTTTAAGACCCCCGCTGGTGGTAGCAGGAAAGCAGAAGCCGGGATGGCTGGCTCGGTGGAGTTTGCCCTGAAAGAAGCATGCTGTCACCGGTGCTTGAAACTCCCCTGTATCTCTGTAGTAGCTTCTGGGGTCTCCTCCCGTCACCATGACAACCCACCGGCTGGTTGACAAACCCAAAGAGTTAGTAACAAGGGAGATGGGAGCACAACTTGCAGATGTCATGTGTCCGCGGGTTGTCAGCGCGGAAGATCCCTGAAAATCTGCAAGTCCCCGGAGCCCTCGGGGCTCAAGACAAGACGCTTGAGGCCACAGTGGTTCCGTGGGTGGTCCTGGAGCCAGCCCTGCACGTTTCTAACTGGGTGACCGTAGGCAAAGGAGTCACCTCTCTGTGGCCGGGGACAGCATAGCTCCCCCTCCTGCCCCCCTGAAAGGCCTTTGGAGGCCTTTGTTGTAAGATGAGACGGAGGAGGGGAGGGGCCTCTGACAGAAACCCAGCAAGTATAGATGGGGAAATACCCATCGTGCCTACAGTTTCCAAAACAGCTAGCCAGCCAGGATGGCCACACAGTTCAAGTTCATTCCTGATTTAGACACCCAAAGAATGAAGAGAAGTTTTTGGGTTTTTTTAAAAAAATATATTTTATTGATTTTTTTACAGAGAGGAGGGGAGAGGGATAGAGAGTTAGAAACATCCATGAGAGAGAAACATCCATCAGCTGCCTCCTGCACACTCCCCCTACTGGGGATGTGCCCGCAACCAAGGCACATGCCCTTGACCAGAATCGAACCTGGGACCCTTCAGTCCGCAGGCCGACGCTCTATCCACTGAGCCAAACTAGTCAGGGCTGTGTTTTGTTTTGTTTTTTTAATTCCCTGTCCATCTGTGGAGCTCACTCTAATCGTTTGAAGGTCTGATGCCCTTTGAACGTGGCTTTATCGGGCCATTGAGTATTCTTAAGGATTCTAGGTCGAGAAAAGGATGCTTAGTGTAGGTGACAGCTGAACCAATTATTTACCACCTACTGGGTGCTGGGTACCCTTATGGGGGAGAGGGTGGCCCCTAGTGGACAGGACAGGCAAAGACAGAGGTATAGGCCAGACTGCAAAATAATTGGAATCACCCCAGGGAGGAAAAAAAAAATGCAATAAGAGGATGGTTAGAGAAGGTCCCTCAAGAGCAAGAGGAGTAGAGACTGGAGGAGGGAGGGGGAGCAAACCCCAGAGCTACTTGGGGGAACAGCAAGCTAGGCAGAGGGAACAGCCAGTTCAAAGACCTTGAGGCTGGACTGTTCTGGAAGGAGCTAAAGGGATGAGGGGAACCTTTTTCTCCCCTTGTTTCTTCTCTCTTTCATCTCCCTCTCCTCATCTCTCTCTCTCTCTCTCTCTGTTCCCTGTCCCCTTCCATCTCTCTCTCCCCTGAACGCTCACCCTCTCTTTGTTCCTCTCCCACCGTCTCCCTGTCTTCCACTCTGCTGTGACTGGCCATAACCCTAAAAGGCAGTATAGAATAGTGGTTAAGAGCTCAGACTTCGGTGCCATCTAACCGGGCTCTGCCACTTCCTGGCTGTGTGTCCTTAGGCAAGTTACTTAACCTCTCTGTGCTGATGACAATAATAGTCACCCGCATCAGGGCTGTCGTGGGGATTAAATTGAGATGCGATCTGTAAAGCACTTAGAACAATGCCTGGCACACCTGAGCATCAGAAAGTGGTGGAGATGATTATTATTATCACTTAATGTCTCTTTTTCTTTCATCTCTCTTGACTGTCACCCTCTCCCTGTCCTCTCATTTTTCTCTCCCTTCATTTCTGTCCTGACATCCATCTCCCCTCCCTCCTTCTATCTCTTCCCACCTCTCTTCTCCATCTCTTTACCCCGCCCCTATGTCTTTCTTCCTCTCTCCTTACATCTTGACCTCTTCCTCTTTCTCACCCGCCCTTACCCC